AATCCCTCTCCTCCCTCCCTTCGGTTTCTCCCGAACCAAACACAGGCTAAATCGAGCTACATTATTTATTTAAGTACCGTTCCAATAATAGAAAGAAATAAAAGTAACGGGGCCAAATGAGGAATACGCAGAACTCAGTAGGCACAACCGTAAAATCCAGCAACAAATTTTGTTCATTCCTACTTCCTTTTTCCACTTCCATTACACAGTCGGAAGCAACCGTTCTGATGATAATCCAATAAATTCTGCTCGTTATCTACTCTCCCACTCCCAAATGCCCAATCCAATTACCTTTTTCGGAAACCCTAGCTTGAATAGTATCTGAATTCGCACTGCATTGGCTAATCCGTAGTATGAAAATGGACTAGCTAACCTATAAATTTACATGGCAAATCCTCATACATTGGCGGCTAGTCCGAGTAATCTCTACCTGCCTATCGACAGCAGAAACAGGTTTATGTGCCGGGACGCCGTTGGCGTTCTAACTAAAGCAAGAGGCCACGGGAAGAAGAAGAAATGCGTGCTTAGAGAGGATCTCAGTGGGTGCGGAAAGAGGGTTTCTCCGGCGGGACAGTCATGGAGGTTGTGTGCTGCGGCAGAGCTTCGTGTTGTTCAGGAGAACTCCGGCAAAAGCATTAGTGTGCAGAATCAGCTGTTGTTTATTGAAATTCCCGTCACGTGCTACCAGGTTAATGTCTTTGCCCTGTTCATTTTACTGCGCCCCTTCTGAGGTTGCTTATGTAGGTTTATCACAGTTTGTATTTGTCATCTATTTGCGTTTCAGTTTGTATCACATTTACCCTTTTAGTCCAATCTCCTGGCTCTGGAAAGAGAGTAGAGTAGTAGACGTTGGCCCGTATAATTTAAAAACTAACAGCACCTTAAACTGGGAATCCTTCTTTTGCTGTTATTATGGAGATTTATATTGCCGACTAAACTTACAATGATCTGTGTGAAATCAATCAACAGATAGTGTGATGTATGGAGCAGTTCACTTTCACACGACCCACCTCTGCCTTTTTCTTTTACAAGAATTGTTCAAAATGTCGAGCGAATTTTTTTTCTCTGAATTCTGCATTAATTTAACATGTTAACTCGTCACTTCTACTAATATTAATAGTTTGTTTTTTTCCTCAATACGAAGTTTATTAATGCATGCCAGGTCATCATAAATGTTTGTTGATCTATTTTGCTCCAGCTTGGTATAAGTTTAATTTTGTTCATTGAAGAGAAGAAGCTGTTGAAATGGTTGATAATAAACATTGTATACATATACATATATACATATATGATTACATATGTATGCTATATTGGTTAATGTTATGATACAGAGTTTTTTCTCTTAAGTTGTCCAGATATAGTAGACCATAAAGTCTATAGTCTAAAAGTGAGATAACATTACCTGAAAATGCAGCTAGGATTGCACCATCATGAAAAAAAAAAAAAAAAAAAANAAAAAAAAAAAAAAAAAAATCCTAAATGCTTTAGATTTTTATCCATAAACAAACACAATTAACTCCAAATCATGTAGTGAAAACTTTGGTTCAGGTTCATTCATTGTAATGTACAGAACTCGAGAATTTTTGTCCTCATTAATTATGCATTAAGTTACTCTAGAAGCAGCTGCCTTGATGTTTCTTGTTCCCAGTTAAAGTTTTGGCGGAAAGTTTAAATCATTCAATAATTGAATGTCTTATCACTTTTGATTTATGCGTTGATTTGCATAAATTAGTTTGTTTTGCTGGTGTTATCGGGATTTCTTGATGTCGTGATATTTCTCATTTTAGTCCGAGTCCCTTCAGATGCCTCAAGGTACTGAGCAAAACCATTTTGAAATACACTTCTCTAATATGGAATATGGTCCCGTTTAGTAAAGACGAGTGTTGTAGGGGCGTAGGTTTCGAGAATCGCATGAATTAGAATACATAGATCCTAAAACTTGGTTTTGATGGTGATCAACTTATCATACGCTGCTGATTAAGGAATTATCTATCTCTCCTCAGTTCTTGACTTTTGATGATGTATGCTTTTAGATCATCGGTATCCATGATCAAGCAGAGAAAGATGAGATCGTTAAGTCAGTGATGCATCTAAAAAATGCAGAGATTGAAGAGGGATACACCAAAGATGCTGTTATATCTCGCCAGGTAGAACATAATCATGAGGATTTCTTTTATTAGTTCCTAATTATTAATTCTTTGTTGCATACTCGATGGAAAAATTTTTCTTGGGTTCTTTTTATTTGTTACTGGTGCTCCTTTATTACTGCTTCAATAATTATCCCTTCTGCTTCCTCAGGATCTTCTAGTGGATGTGAGAGATAAACTTCTTTTTGAACCAGAATATGCTGGAAATTTCAAAGATAAGCAACCTCCTAAATCTTCTCTTAAAATTCCTTGGCCTTGGTTGCCTGGTGCTCTCTGTCTTCTTCAGGAGGTTAGCTTGGTGATCACTTAGCTGTTTATTTATTTATTTTCTTCTCTCTGATATGCATTTAAAGATTATAGTAAGTCCAACATCAACTTTCTTATGTTACAACATATCCGCTTTTGCATCATCTCATTTGTTTGTTGCCATAAGGATCTGCAAGCACTATTTCTTCCGCCTTTGATAGGAATATGCAGTAGTGTAAATCCTTCCCTGATTCTGCAGTTGATGCACTTAAGTGAATTTATATAGGTTGGAAATGAGAAGCTTGTGTTAGAAATTGGACGAAAAGCACTTCAACATCCAGAATCAAAGCCATTTGTTCATGATTTGCTTTTATCCATGGCACTTGCAGAGGTAAGATGAAAATTAAGAGGTCAGAATGTTCAACTAGTTTTTCCTGGCAGTTTTGTTATGCTTCTTTTTCTTACTTTAGGTGTTTTCTTGAAGTGTGCAATTGCTAAAGTTGGCTTTGAGAAGAACAATATTGCTCTCGGATTTGAAGCCCTTGCTCGTGCTCAATGTCTTCTCCGTAGCAAAGTTTCTCTAGGGAAGATGACACTGCTGTCACAGGTAACCATCAGTTTAGTAGCATGGGCTTGAATAAGCTTTTACCAAATTCCTCTTTCTGGTCCAATAGACGACATGGTAGGTTGTACGGAAATGGTTGAGTTTGTAATCTAAAGAAAATCTAGAAAGCATGTATTAGATGGTCAAGGTTTTGTTCAGATCAACTTGGCATGTCCGGATTAATTGATGGGATTGACTATTAAGAATGCCATAGCAATGATAGTTGTTAAGACCATAACTTGTGCAAGTCTTCTTATCTTTTTAAGAAGGAAATAGAACAGACGAAAACCAAACATGTACATAAATCATCCCGTTCCTAAGGTCATGTGTCTAGATTCCTCTCGGTTTTCTTGGTGGGGCTGCAAATTCAATATTTTCAAATGCAGTATCTGATGGTTCCAAATTTTGTTGTTTGCTTGTTTACTTGTTCTTTGGTGGATGATAGCTTACTACTCAAATTAGTTCGATGTTGATTTCAGATAGAAGAATCGTTGGAAGAGCTTGCTCCAGCCTGTACTTTGGACCTTTTAGGAATGCCTCATACACCTGAAAATGCTGAACGAAGACTTGGAGCCATTGCAGCTTTGCGTGAATTGCTGAGACAAGGCCTGGATGTTGAAACTTCGTGTCAAGTTGAAGACTGGCCTTGCTTTCTGAATCAAGCACTCAGAAAGCTTATGGCTACTGAAATAGTCGAACTCATATCATGGGATACTTTAGCTCTTACAAGGAAAAATAGAAAGTCGCTTGAGTCGCAGAATCAGAGGGTTGTCATTGATTTCAATAGCTTCTATGTGGTTTTGTTAGCTCATATTGCCCTTGGATTTTCAAGCAAGCAAACTGAGCTGGTAATATCTCTTGTTGATTACCTTGTAACAATTAACATATTTGATTTCTTAATCACAGTTCACTTTTTGGAAACTCAGTATTTTACTTCCTTGAATTGCTGTTCTGTTCGTGAATCCGTGTTTCATGCTTGCTTCTATAATTACATGCATAAAAAAGATGTCGGTTCAGTTTCATTTATAGTGTCCATTAGTTCTTCATCATCTTTTTTGTAGATTACCAAGGCAAAATCGATCTGTGAGTGCTTAACTGCATCAGAAGGCATTGATTTAAAATTTGAGGAGGCCTTCTGTTCTTTTCTTCTCGGGCAGGTGCGCTTTTGTCTTCATTTCCCTCTTCTGTGTGACATTTGCTCCACTTAGTTTTTACATTCTCTATACCAGCAGTGAGGAGACTCCTGTCTCATTTTGCAGGGTGATGAAGCAACAGCCACAGAAAGACTGAGGCAACTTGAATTGGATTCCAGTGCCAGTTCACAAAAGTCTCTCACTGTGAAGGAATGCAGAGAAGTTTCTAGTGCTAACAAACCACTGGTATGTGTCCCTGTTATTATGAATTTATATTGTAACGCTTATAGGTCAATACCAGTTTGAAGTTCTTTGTTGAACC